GCAGTTAGATAGCAATGCGTTTCTATTTTTATTTTTATATCATAACTAGTGTGCAATTTAGACCAGGGTGACCATATTTAAAAAAAAACAAAAAAAAAACTGGGACATTCCCGTTTTTTTGGCAGTTGATAATGATAAAATTGTCAAACAAGTGCGTAATTAAGGAAAATTGTTACGCAGAGACCATTCATGACCAACATGTGAGTCAGTATAATCCATGTGTCATTCATTTAGTCGTTTTTCAATATAAGACTAAAAATAAGAAAATGAAAAAACGACTGTTTTCTTCATTATTTGTCTCCAAACCCAAAAGGAAAAAACGTATGACGATGCGTATTTTTTAGTTTTCGATTTTGTGTTTAAATGAATAATGGAAAAAAAAAACAGATAACGGCCGTTCCCGTTTTCATGACTTAAACTGAGATGCCGGACTTTTGCGCCGCATACAGACTGAACCAGGACTAAACTAGGACTAAATCAGGTCCGGGACCAGACCAGGACCAGGCCAGAACTGAGACTTGTAACAGGACCAGGACTGAGACCAGGACCAGACAGTGATTGAGGCCGGGACAAGACCGGGACTGAGACCAGGACTGAGACAGGGAACAGGGCCAGGACTGAGACCGGGACCAGACTGGGACCAGACCAGGACCAGACCAGAACTGAGACTGGGAACAGGACCGGGACTGAGACTGGGACCAGACCAGAACTGAGACTGGGACCAGACCAGGGACTGAGACGGGGACCAGACCGGGACCAGACCAGGACAGAGACTGGGACCAGACCAGGACTGAGACTGGGACCAGACTGGGACTGACAACGGAACCAGACCAAGACCAGACCAGTTTTCTTATTTTTGGTTTTATAATGAATAATAATAATGAATTAAAATGAATGAACGAGTGATACACAGATTTAGTATAGTCACATTTTCTTTGTGTTTTGGTCATTTTCAAGCAGGTTTTTTGTATTTTGTGGAAACAAATGACAGTATATGCCTCTCTTTACTGCTGTCAGGGATCAAATTATTCAAAAACTGACTCCAGGGACATTTCTTGTATAAAACTGGGACAAATCAGTGGTTTCGTATAAATAAATGGGACAGGGGACACAGGGCTCAAAACTGGGACTGTCTTGGGTAAACAGGGACATCTGGACACCTAACAGCAAAAAAAAAATAAACCAGTGTCTGAACTTTGTAACTAGTGTTTTCTGTTGCAGTTTCATTTGAATATAGTGAATATAGTGTGGTAATATCAGTGGGTCTGAGTCCTCCTTTGGACAAACAATAGTCTCTGTTCACTCTTACCAGAAGATGTTTGGAAACATGCGGATCATGACTTCCAGTGTAGTTACAGACAAAGGGCTTGTGATAAAACCGTGGATTTGGCAGCAGCATCTTCACAACCTGCCAAAGCTTTCCATGGGGGACAAGGACTCTAATCGTATCTTCGATGTCACTTACAGACAGCAGGTCGTAACTGTTGATCTACCGGTCATAACAGAACGCTACAATTACATCTTCTATTTTTTTTTTATTAGACAAATTATAATACACAATGAATAGGCAATTTATAAAAGGAAAAAAGAAAGAATACAATGACATCTAGATGAAGAAAACTGGGCCATTTTCTCAGTTTTCCCAGATTTTGTCAAAGTTACTATTGCCAGCGGAGCCCAAAGGAAGTCATCATCCACATGTTTCCAAACCTCTTCCAGTCTGAATAGAGCCTATTGACTATATTCCAGTGCATTTTAGAAGTCTACACCACAGCTAATCTAAACCACAGCTCAAGAATGTATGTGTCCTGTATTTGTTTGACTCAGTGTCTAGTCCCTGTCCCTGCTCAGATAAAGCCCTGCTCTGGTGCACCTCTCACACACAGGAGGCTTCAGTGTGTACCTCAGACACAGCAGAACACACACTGCACACTTCAGTCTTTGTCAGGATATGATCATATGCAGTATCATATGTACTGCATGATGATACTGCCCTCACAGGGGGAGACTTTTACTGTGTAGTGTATGCGCACCACTTTTTCATTCTGGTTAAACGTAAAGTGGTGTAAAGTCTCAGACATGCTGCACTACATTATTAGCCAGGCTGGCGCCACCTAGTGCCACCACTGAATTTCATTTCTCTCCAGCGACTGTGTCAGGAATCAGAAAACACTAGATGGTTTGCAAGAACCCTGGAAGTTGCAGACTGCGCACCGGCCAATCAGTGAAGAACTGTCAAGCCATGATGTCAAACTCGTTGCATATGTCTGGGTTCCTTTTGTGGTACAGGACAACAGTACACAAAGCGTCGAGATGGATGTAGATGAAGACAGACATTCTGTGTTGGCAATGATTCCTGAGATCGAGAATTTAAAGCTGGAACAAAGAAAATGTTTGGTGAATTTTATCAAGGGGAAAGACGTTATTGTCCTTCTTCTTATGGGATTTGGCGCATTACCTACGTCACTGTCACATAGCAGCGATTCGTTAAATACCTACCGCCTACCATCGAGTGAACGAATCCTTATGCTGTGAGGTCAGATGGTTTCCATGAAGTGAAACCGGCTGATGAATCAGGCTACTACATTATGACATCCAACCAAATACATTTAACAGAACTAGGAACACTTAAAAGAGCAGTCTGTTCTCTGGCGTGTCGTATGTGAGAGCGCCCACAAGAGGATGGGAAAGGCAGAGTTTAGACACACACTACAAGTGCTGATCAGATGAGCCAAAACTGTCTCCAAAACTAAGACTTCACCAAAAAAAAAAAAAAAAAAAAAAAGTTATAGTTTTTTTGTGAAATGAATAGTTTTTAAGTCATATGTATGTCTTTTTAGCTGATCTTTCCCTCTTTCACTTTTACTTTTAGCAGAGATTTTGTCACATATATACTTGTGGTGTTTGTATCCAGCACATTTGTAGGCCAAGTATTAAAAGCATTGTTTAACTTGCTGATTGCTGATCTAAATATGTGATGTGGTTGCAGTTTATACCCCATAAAACTATAATACCCCATCTTAAAACGAAAAAAAAAAAAAAGTTAGTGAAATAAAAGACATGTGGCTGAAAATGTTTAGTTACGTGTTTAATGTGGGTCAAAATGAACCCTCTCTTCTCATAGTGTTTTATGTTCATTATACAAAATACAGTATTAGTACTTTTACAATAGTTACATTATTTAAAAATATAAAAACATCTTTGTACAGTGGTAATTAAATAAAATAACGCTGTTTTAAGTTGTTCTGTTGGTGATGAGGTAGAGCGATATTCAACTGTAACTGTGGTGAGAGAAGACATGTACCGCAAAAACCAAACCAAAAATCTAAGATGACTTGAATATTTTATGAATCCTAAAATGGGACTAAATACCTAAACTCCAACTACAACTTCAGCTACTAAACTGCTAAACTGGGCAGGACCTCGAGGACTAAAGGGAGAGTGAGGAGGCGGGGGGGTAATCATGTAATCACTGTACAATTTATAACAACAACAACAAAAATATTCAGTGTTTAAATCTTCACTGGGTCTTTTTTTTTTTTCTGGTGGTGCTTTGCAGAGAATGTTCTACAATATTAAACTTATCTTCATGGAGACAAGCAGGAGAGGCCAAGTTACAAGTCAGGTCTGTGGAGAGGCCACTCTGCTCACTCAGAGAATGTTTAGGAAGTAATTTATTTTAACAATAAAAACATCTATAATTGAATAAGATGGGTGTGTTTACTGTGGAACGTTCTAGGCAAAGCAAAGACATCTCCATGGAGACAGGCAGGTGATGATGTATCCGCTACCAGAAAAGTTACATAGTGTGCCTTTAAACTGAGGCTATTAGACTAGTATTACAGTTTTTTTTATTATCATTATTATTATTATAAAAAAAATAAAACTAGATTAAGTTTAGAATGAATTATAAATCATTACCATTATTATCATTATTTTTAGCTTAAAAAAAAAAAAAAAAAGTGTGTTACATGTTTTTTGTAGATTTTGTCTTATGCAAATAAATCTTAATGCACTACTTTCCAATCAGCCAATCAGAAACAAGCACCAAGCACACTGCAAAACAACACTCCACATGAGTTAAAGTAGCTTGAATTCATAATCTTATGTTAATTCCATCAAAAGACCCAAGGTCCCAAGACCCCATCACTGACCAATGACCATTAAAAAAAACTGTGATTAAGTGCACAGCCCCGCTGCTTTAACAACTGTCTGCTTCTTCTAGAGTCCACGCTTCACTGTAATTGGATAAATCCATCTGTCACTCACTCCAATATATTAAACTTGTATTCTGAACTCAGGTCATTTTAAAGTATATGTAGACACCATTATTTTAATGCCATGCCATTAGTGCTTAAATACAATGAGTCATTTGTGATGTGATAGAAAGGAGTTCATAATTCAATTTCTATTATCCTATTATCCAAGCAGAACGAAAAATGAGTTCCTCACTTTGGGACATCAGACCAAAACAACTTGTTGATTTCCTCACTGAAAAGCAGCTAAAGGCATACCAATATAAAGGAACTGTATGTAAGATTTCAGTTTTAAATTTCACAAACTTGACTTATCTGTGTCCCCAGATACAAGGCAAATGTTCAAATCAAACATAACTTTTACAAATAACAATTTTAATATTGATTTTTTCTTAGTTACAAAAACACTGGGCATGGTTCTCAAAACGATTATCCAATCAGAAACCAGAATGAGTCATTTCCAGTTGGTTTAAACCTAAAATGCCTCTCTCTGATCTGAACGATCACTCCCTAAACTCCAGCACCTGTACCAGTCATGAGTCAGTGCTAGTGCAGCCTCTGCAGCCCAGGGAGGGAATTCTGGAGATTCTGAGCTTTCACATGAAGCTTGTCCATAAAATGAGAATGAGACAAACATGGATGTGTTCTCTATCTGCAGGTTAAGACACTGGCAACACAGGATCAGTCTTCTTCAGATTCTAGTAGTTTTTTTCAAACTGAGAGCCCAGGCTACATACAGTTCCTTTAAGTTTCTACATATACAACTTTTTACTTATGTAGATCTTCTTTTTGCAGTGAATAATTGCTCCACTGTACACCCTCTGAACAGACATAAATAATGAAACATACAAAAATAATAAAATATCATTCAGCTGAGTGTGTGGTCTTCTCATGGGCGGTTCTTGTAGGAGGGCAGGAAGGGGAGGACCTGGAGCCAGGTGAGGCGTTTAAGGACTCTTCCACAGAATGGGACATCGTAACACGACAGGTCACTGGTCTCATCACTGTCCACCAAACCCACACTGTCCCTCCACTTTTTAATGCCCCGCTCTTTATCTGTGCCTGTAAAAACACAAACATTTTGATTAAATTGGAATGCAACACAACAGGAGACTTAAAGATGCACTATGTAACTTTTCGTTTTAAAACTGAGGTGTCCAGTGGGAGCTGACATCGCCGTAAACGTCATCACAACAAAGAGCCGGCAACTCTCATAAACAGCTACAGATCACACTAGCAAGTAGCAGATTTTTTTTTTTTAATAATCCATACCAAAATAAAAACATTGCCAAATCCTAAGCAAGTCACTGATTAAGCAAATACAGTTGGAGAATGAAGTAAATCAAGAGTAGTGGGTGTATGCCAGTGACAACAGGTTGATCGGCAATACAGCATCTTGAAAATAAGTGATTTAAGATCACACAAACATACACGAATCAACTTAACTTTGAGACTCTAAATGGAAAGGGGATATCACTATTCACTCAGGTCCACATTTCCACCAGTCATTCTCTACCATAACAAACTGCCTATCTGACATTAATACCTGGATGGACCAGAACTTCCTCAAACTTAACAGCAATAAAACAGAACTGCTCATCACTGGACCAAAAGCTCTCCTCCCCTCTGCTCAGAACATCTCCCTCTTCATTGGTAGCCACACCGTTACCCCCTCTCCCTCTGTACGCAAAATTAGCCAAAACATCTTTTTTCTGTCTCTGCAACATCGCTCGTCTCCGCCCCTCCCTCTCTCAGTCCACCGAAGAAATCCTCATTCATGACTTTATCTTCTTCAGACTTGACGACTAAAACAGCCTTCTGTACGCTTTCCCCTCCACCCACCTCCAAAAATTGCACTCCGCCGCTCGCCTCACCCACACCTGCCTCATCGCCCACACCTGCTCCAAAGACCAAATCACTCCTGTCTTCAAGCATCTCCACTGGCTCCCCGTACAACACTGCATTCAGTACAAGGTCCTCCTCGTCACCTACAAGTCCCTCCAACACCTGGCCCCTCCCCGTCTCACCGACTTCCTCCATCAGCATTGTCCCACCCGCCTCAGATCAGCCGACACCAACCTCCTCACTCCCCTCATCTGGACAAAGCACCGGACTTTGGGGGACCGAGCCACTGCAGCCTAGTCAGGCTGGCGCCACCTAGTGCCTCCACTCAATTTCATTTCTCTCCAGCGGCTATGGCTACGTTCAGACTGCAGGGCTTAACGCTCAATTCCGATTTTTTTGTGAAATCCGATGTTTTTGCGAGGTCGTTCACATTTCCAATTAAATGCGACTTGTATGTGTCTCCAGTGTGAACCGTAAATGGCCCGAAAGTGTCCCACATGTGCACTGGAGACATGATGACGTCAACCGCAGTGAGCGTGCTCTGTGTTTACGGAAGTTGTCCAAACATGGACGCGAGCATTGAGCACCTGGAGATTTTAAAGTTCCTCTCGTACCGGAGCCAGAACATGAACAACTTACTTGTTTTAAGGAGGAGACTGAGAAGGAGAAGGACGAGGTTTTTGGCCGAGGTGTTTTGTGGGGCAGCGGCAGCGACGTCCGTTGAAAGGAACGTGTGGATGTGGAGACGTAGCCAAGACTGGTGAGTGGTGATGTGCTTTGCTTCAGTGACACAGAGTTCATTAACAATTTTCGCCTACTTCAGCGCAGAATAGTGACGTTTGTGGCTTGTTGATAACGTGTAGTTCGGACGACTGCGCTTTGACAGTTCACACTGAAGTCGCAAGTCAAAAGATCGGATATGTATCAGTTTCAGGAGCACTTATCCAAGTGGCCTGGGTCGCATTTGAAAAAATCGGATCTGTGTCGTTCAGACTGTCATTAAAAGATCAGATACAGGAACATAGCGGCCAAAAAAATCGGATTTGGGTCACTTCAGGCTGCAGTCTGAACGCAGCCTAAGTCAGGAATCAGAATACACTAGATGGTTCGCAAAAATCCTGGAAGTGCAAGTTCGGGAACCAGCCAATCAGCGAAGAGCCGCACATTCTGTGTTGGCAACAGTTCCTGAGATCAAGGATTTAAAGCTGGAACAAAGATGAAAGATGTTTGGTGAATTTTATCAAGGGGAAAGACGTTATTGTCCTTCTTCCTACGGGATTTGGGAAAAGCTTAATATACCAGTTATCCCCGTTAGCAGCGCATTACATACGTCATGACCAAATAGAAGCAATTGGCTAAATGAAAAAAGTACCCGCCTACTGTTGAGCGAGCAAATTCTAATGCTGCGAGGTGATGAATCAGGCTAGTTACCGCCACTCCCTCCCTCTGGAACTCACTCCCACAATGCATCAGGAACTCGGACTCGCTGCAGCACTTTGAATCACTACTAAAAACTCACCTGTTCAAACTGGCATTCCCTCCTTGATCCTCCCGTTTTCTACAGTGTCAATTTTTATTTGTTTATATAGCATCTTTGAGTGTCCAAAAAAGCATTATATAAGTCTGATGTATTATTTTATGATTACTATAACATGGTTAAAAGCTCTGAAACGTGGATTTTGCAGAATAGGTCTGCTTTAAAAAGAGAATTCACACAATAAATATATAGGAATCAAATAACTATATTTTGCTTCAGTTACAAAAGTTACATAGTGCATCTTTCACTAGACTAGATCAGTGAGTAATTGCATTATTTGTGTTAAATACCTGGGATGGTGTTGTCCAGGATGAAGCCAAAGAAGCCTCCTATGAACATGTGAGTGGTGAAGAGGACCACAAACACCTGGTCCAGCTCCTTCACTCCTGCACAGACACAAGAAAGAAGCGTTTCAAAACATTGTAAAGACAGGAAATAAGGATAAAACCAGGACTAAACCAGGACCAGGATTAAACCAGGTCTAAACCAGGTCTAAACCAGGTGTAAACCAGGTGTAAACCAGGTCTAAACCCAAGGTAAATCATTGTTGTGAGTGCCATTTGAATTCTATCGCAAGGGACTGAAAAACATGGTGGATTTTTTTGAGAATCAATGAGCAAAGCATTAAATTTGTGACTGAGGTGAGGGAAATTATGTTGAAAATGATGGATGACCATTGAGCTTTGGATTCATCGGTGTCACTAAAATAAACAAATCTGTTGGACAAACCAGAGACCAGACCTGAGACCAGACCACAGGCCCAAACCAGAGACCAGACCTGAGACCAGACCACAGACCAGACCACAGACCAAACCAGAGATCAGACCAGAGAACAAACCAGAGACCAGACTAGAGACCACAGACCAGCGATCAGAGACCAGACCAGAGTCCAGACCCCAGACCTGAACTTGCAGAATCGTATAAGGACCTTGGCACTTCAAATATGTGTCTTGTCTCCTCGTCTCAGATACCAGAGAGTGGAGATGAAAGGTAGAAATGATGGGAGGCATCTTTGGGGATGGAAGCCCAGATTAGAACACAGTGCTTTGACCTCATTGATCACTAGGACCTAGGCCACGTGTCAGCTTTCCTTATCGGCGCAAATGGACATCGTAAATCCACCAAAGGAATAGAGCAGGTAACAGAAGACACTTATGTAAGACAAAAACATGATAGTGTTAAGCTGTTAAGAATTGGAAATTATATCAATCAATAACTCTATGGGCAAATCACTGTTTTTGAAAGAAATCTCCAAACTTATGATCCACAAATGCTAAACCTTATTATTACTTGTTTGGGCCTTCATACATGTTTGAGTATTTCTGTTTCATCCTGCATCTGTGGCTTGAGTGATTTTAAAGGTACTATATTGTCTCTTGTGAGCTTTAAGCCATGTTAGAATGTTGGTAGAATGAAAAACATACTGAAGTTGTGCTTTGTTTCATTCACTCATGCTTGAGTGGTGGTTGAAGATGTTTTCAAGTTCAACCACTACCTTTTACCTTCACCTTAATTGGATATTGTCAATGCCAAGGCTGAAATGATCCAAATGATTCTAGTGAAGGTGTATGGAGTTTAAAAGTGCATTGGAGCACCTCTTATATTACCACATGACATCACAAGGTGGATCAGAGTGTTTTTAGTTTGAGGGAAGAGCACAGCCTAAATATACAGTTCAAAAAAATTGTAGAAACATTTTTAACACATCAGATCTCAATGTGAAAAAAAAATATGTTGGAAATAACATTTTCAGCCCACAGAGAGCTTCATTTTATAAACACCCTGAAAATCAAAGTGAAATAAGAATGTGGCAGGCTAGTCCGTTCACATCACTGAGCTCCTGTGGAGTCTGAGGAGCAACTTGGCGGCGTCTGATGAACTCAAACATAATGTCACAGATGTGTTCTATTGGGTTTAAGTTAGGTGATCTTAAAGGCCATTCAGCTTAATTGCTAGATGAGGCTGGGCATTGTCGTGCGTCAGGAGGAACCCGGGACTGCATCAGCGTTGGGTGTGATAATGGGTTTAAGGATTTCTAGCCGATAGAGGTCTGTGTGTTGTGTGTTGGCCTGGGAACGCCTCGGAGTTCCACTGGAGGAGCTGGAGGACGTGTCTGGGGTGAAGGAAGTCTGGGAGTCCCTGCTTAGACTGCTGCCCCCGCGACCCGGCCCCGGATAAGCGGAAGAAAATGGATGGATGGATAGAGGTCTGTGTATCCTTTTATGGATATGCCTCCCCAGACCATCACTGACCCACCACAAACCAAACATGTGAACCATGTTGCAGGCAGCAAAGTGCTTTCCTCATCTTTTCCAGACTCTTTCACGTCTCTCACAGGTGCTCAGGGTGAACCTGCTCTCTGAAAAACACAGGGCACCAGTGGCGGACTTGCTAAATCTGGTGTGGTCTAGCAAATGCCAACTGAGCTTCACGGTGCTGGGCAGTGAGCACAGGGCCCACTAGAGGACGTGGTGTCCTCAAACTGCCCTCTTGAAGTCTGTTTGTGATTGTTTGGGCAGAAACATTCATGCCAGTGTCCTGCTGGAGGTCATTCTGTAGAGCATGGGCAGCCTGTTCATGGGTCCTGCTGATGGGTTGAGGACCTTCTACGTCCCTGTCCAGCTCTCCTTTAGTAACTGCCTGTCTACTGAAACCTCCTCCATGTTCTAGAGATAGTGCTGAGAGACACATTAAATCTCCTGCAACGGCACATCCGAATGAGCCATCCTGAAGAAGTTCAACAATCTGTGCAACTTCTGTAGGGTTAAGAAATGGTGTCATACTCCCAGTCATGCTAATCACTGTAGCCACAGCAGCACTAGAGGAAAACCAGCCAAAAAAGACCAAGAGTGAGAAACTTGAAATGACCTGCACATGTAAAACCGTCCTGTTTTAGGGGTGGTCTCATTGTTGTCAGTACTCTAATGCCCCTGTTGTTCATTTCCATTAAAAGAGGTGAAATCCTTTGTTCTTAAGACATTGCCCCGTCTATATGTATATAGATTTTTCACATTGAAATCTGATGTATTTTCAAAGTGTTCCTTCAATATTTTTGTGCAGTGTAAGTGTGTGAAACATGAGTGAATTTAACAAAACACAACTGCAGGTGTGTTTGTGATCAGGAAACAACATTGGGACATAGATCAAAAAATAGTGTCATAAAGATATGCCCAACTGGCTTTAAAATCATACTTTGCTTCCATTAGCTATTCTTTTAACACATGTGCTTTTTGTCTGTTTTCTATAATGCATAATCTATGACACATGTGGATCATTATAATTTGGACATTTTTTTCATGTGTGCCATCACTGAGCAAGAAAATGAAATGCTCAGTGCACTGTAAAATCTAATAAGTAGACCTTACTTGAAAAAAATCTAGGAAACCGATTGCTTTGAAAACTCTGACTAAGGGCCTGTTTACATGAGAACGCTTGCAGGTTAAAACGACAATGTATTTTATGAGAAGTGTCTTTTGTTTAGATGGTGACATGTTTTGGGGCTTAAAAACGCAAGAATCTGAAACCACCCTCCAGAGTGGAAAAGTTGAATATGCTCTGCCGTAGCGTTTCCGTCTACACTGCCCAAAACACAAAACTCTGGTCAGATCTGCTCACGTTGCGTAGACTTTACATCACATATATACAGTACACAGAAACCTGGCATGCACACCCAATCCAATTCCACACACTTTTGCGTCATCGTATGCACACAGATTTACTCTTGAAAACGCTCATCTAAACGCGGAATAAAAAGTGAAGACGCGACGCCACTGTTGCATCTTCCGTCCAGACCGTCATCATATAAATGTAAACTCAAGTGGACTGTGAATCTAATATATGAATATTTATTAGTCTTTGAAAAAGCGTAGCAAAACTTTTGTTCAGCTTAACTTCAAAACACATCGCGAGGAGAAAATTCAGTTTGTCCACTGGACAAAAGTTAGTTAGGCTGAAGACGTTTCACAGCTCATCCAAGCTGCTTCTTCAGTTCTGGTCAGAACGCTGGTGGACACGTCCTTATATCTGCAGGGAGAAACTAACTAACTGAAACTAATACACCTACTTGTTTACAATTTCTGTCAAAACACATCGTAACATGTGTGACAATAAAATAATAGAGCTCGGTCATTCCATGTCAAATCTACCAAGGCCCCACACACAAAAATTTTGGAAGAAACAAAACAAGGGGAACAGATGTAATCAAGCACAGACTGGATGAACAGAGGGAGGATATAGAGTCGTCCTGGGATCAGCGAATGAGTGGCAGCTGTAGGAAAACCAGCGAGGGAACAAAAGGAGGACAGGAACAGACTGGAAAATGGAGCTGGACTCAATAATACGTCACTGTTGAAGTTACTTGATTCATTCAAGTTGAACTTAGTCAAATAATGTGCATTTTTCACCCTGAAAGTACCTGTTACTTTACCACAATTGCTTTAATACTACTTCAGAGGGTCAGTGAGAAGGGGGACATTATAACACGATTAAAAGCTCTAAAAAGTTGATTCTGCACAATAGTTCTCCTTTAAAGCAAATATGTCATGTCGTCCTGGACAGTCACCATACATACTAGTAGATATGTGAAGTAGGTAAGCTCTACTACCTACATTCCTCTGCGGACAGGGGGCCTGGTTATCCTCTTGTACTCTGTGTTTTCACTTTAGCATGAAACACAACCTCTCATAAAGTCACTGAGATTTAGACTCTGGAGCTTTTATAGATGTTCTACTATGGTTATGAGGCTACTTTTACTACTACTATCACTACTACTGCTGCTACTGCTACTTTGTGTATGTGATAAATAATGGACTAAATGTTTTACAGGTTTGTCTAAGCCCCTCAAAGCTCTACACTGTCTTCTTCTTCAGTCACACTGTACTAGGCAAAGACGCTGTTGTAGCCACAGCTGCCCTGGTACAGACTGACAGAAGTGAGGTTGCCAATTTGTCCTTCCAATCACCACCAATCATTCACACACACACCACCACTAGACAATGTGGGTGAACACAACAACTGAACTTGGTCTGAGCAGGAATCAATTCTCCGACCCTCGGATTAGGGGAGCACTGCTCTAACCACTGAGCCAGCCACTGTTACTAAAACTAGTATATATATTTATATATAGAGAGTTTAAATTGCTAATACAGTATCGATATTGTGGGCTGCTATACATATATATACACATATATATATACATATACCCAGCCCGAGTTACTACTAATGATGTAGAGTGCATGCAGGGATGTACTATTACTACCTTTTTTTATGTTCTTTTTAGTGCTCAGAACCTGCAGGATTCCCTCACTGAGCTGCAGAAGCTGCACTAGCACTGACTCATGACTGGTGCAGGTGCTGGGGTTCAGGAAGTCACCATTCAGATCAGAAA